GATCTGAAGATGTATATAATTATAAGACAAAATCTTCATTATGTCCATCATGTGAGACGAATCATATAGAAAATATAGTAGGTCGATATAGGAAGGAATCTGGTGTCTCTGGCACCTCTTATCATATAGGTTGTATGTTTAGATATACAGGAGATCTAGAGGTAGTGGCATAAAAATTAGATTACCGTGAAATCGATCACCTAAAATGTGCAGAAGATATCAGAGAAATTCTCTTTTTTTCTTCATATGGCTCAGAAAAAATCTATCACTTAATTTTTTGCAAAGTTAATTTGAGTTATATTTTCTCACTTTGCAGATCGATAGATCAAGGGGACAGATTGTGCGATGTAAGATTGCCATATATATTCGTATTATTTTTTCAAATCACGTGAGTGGCTTAGATATCGTGCATAGTAAAGCGTCATCTATTCTTTTCTGTAGTAAACGCATGTGATTTTGCAGAATATTCTATGCGCAGTAGTACATCACCAGCATCTGCAGTCGTTATTTTAGAGGATCTATTAATAATTCCAGCCAAGAGCAATATTTTTGTGTTGACATACTGATGAACTTTCCCTAAAGTTCTGGTATGTTCTATCTCACTCATTACGCAGTTCTGAATTACTAATAAAAAAATCACATCCCTGATTTATATTTGCAGATCGTAAGACAGGGTGTCGTTAAAAAGAAATTCACAAATGGAAATAGAACAATTAGAATCTATGATTTGCAGATTTACCCACGGGTAAATAAACGGTAAATTTTTATTATCATACTAGCGCATTCAAATTACCTGTATAGGCTAATCACATATTAATCCATTTTTGGGATGAAGTTATAGAAATTGGCAGTACGTAATCCAGCATGGGTAATTTATCATCTACTGTTTTTATAGATCTCGATCTATGATTAATAATCTTTATTCAGATTTTTTTTTGCAATAGGGTATATCAGCCAATCTAGATAATAAACAGTAGATATACAATTATTTTATTGTATAAATTTATAGCATATCAGTTTAGCATGTTCATCAGATATTCATTTTAGTGCAATTTTTTCTCCTGATCATATCAAATAAGCAGTATATTTTATTAAATAATCTGCGTATATTTGCAAATCGTGAAGGTACAAGAGATGTAAAATTTACGCCAATACTTCTGATAATTTTATTCCTAGAATGGCTAATTTTTCACAAAAATATTCATGCGGATCTGTCTGATATTTTTTATAAATACCCTGCCTATTTCTCTTTCATTTTGATCTACATTATAGGGGTAAATAGTGAAGAACTTTGAATCGAACTGCGTTAAAAACGAATAGAACTTCTGCCTTCTTATATGTTCGAAGCAAGAAAAAAAACATCAAATTTCTCTTGTGAATGGCGTCTCATATACAGATATTTAGTTCTTCCTTCAGTCTTTCTTTAAACAAAAATGTACTTTATAATATAGCTTATTCACATACTTGTACATACGTGATCCCAGAGGGATTCAACAAATATTTCAATAAATTTTTATTAATAAAAAACTTTTCTCTTGCGTAAGGCCTCACGGCCAAGTATTTACAAAAAAATATTATTATTTCATTGCTTGAATATGTTGTTAGAGATATGAGGATACGAGAATGTACTAACTTTTTTTATCTTTAAGTACAGGCGCCGGACAGGATCTTGATAATTTTCTTTTTTCAGAAATGAAAGGCATATACATGATATCATTTTCACAATTATTCCAGGTCTGTATTATTTTGACGCAGGTTCTCTCTTCTAATTATACTAGCATTAATGGGTGTGCCGTGAAACTAATTGTAAAATGTATAAAAGGGATGTGGATTCACCTTTAGCTTCACTAGCGATAAATTATACTAATAAATCATAAAAAATTACGCAAAACTACCTGTGATCTAACATACCTGAACATATTTTTTTTTACACTCTGAAAATATGTCTGCACTCGTCTTGCAAAACAACGCCTTGTGGCATATCTTTAAAGACTTTACAGCTTCTATTCTTCTTAGCGCCTGTTTCTTGATTTATGTTATCAGAAATCAATTCTCCAATCATCCTCCTACATATGATAATAAAATGGCTAATGAGCTTTCTGCACGTATGTCCGAAATTAATGGTATTCTTACCGCAGAAATCGAAAAAAATAAGGCACATGATGGAAGTATTACTGCGGAAATTGAAAGACTCCTTACTGATGTCTACAAAAAACTTAGCGCAGAAGTTAACTCTAAAATTGCTAACGAACTTTTCGCACACATTTCTGAAGTTAATTCTACTTTCACTGCGGAGCTTATAAGAAACAATAATGAACTTAATAAGAAACTTACCAGAGAAATCACTAAAATTAATTCACGTGATGATGACTTCACTCAGAAGACGCAGAAAATTTTTTCAATGGTCAATAGCATAACTACGAAAGTTAATAATATCGAAGAAGCCTGCCGTAATAAATTTAGCAGAATTAATGTTGTTATCAAAAATCTCCAAAATGAAATAAATCAACATTACGCAATAGTTCAAAGATCTAATTTTAACCAGCAAAGTGTGTTCAATGAATCTGAAGCTAATTCGACCAATGAATTTGAAACTAATTCATTTTCAAGCTCTTCTGGTTCTTCTGGTAAGATAAAAACAAAATAATTTTTGATAATCAATGCTTTATGTATTAGGGGTTTGACTAACATTTTTTAATTACAGGTTCGAGCCAAAAATTCGCAAATATCATTTCTGTAATCTGGGAACAATTTACGGATATCTTTGATAGGATTAAGGATGCAAATGATTATTCTTTAGATCAGATGTATGCTATTGTATCAGTTGATATTCTTAGTAGACTTGGGATAAAAATAATTGGGAAAGATACAATAAAGAGATTTTATTATGGGGAAAATTTAAATAGCAAAAACTTAGAAAAGATAGGTGCTTGAATAGATAACACTCATTTACATTGATACTGAATGGCAGGAAAGGAACTGCCAATATATGGGTTAGGGCTCAGCAGGCATTTATGCTTATTCCTCTATTGAAACAACCTGCTACTCTATTATTTTTTACTTTCATTTTTACATAGCCGGCCGGCTCTTTCTCATGTATTACTTCATGAAAAAATATAATAAAGAATTCAATTGATTTTTAAAAAAATATACATGTTTATTTTGTAATAATGTACTAGTTTTATGCTACGCTACTTGCACTAATACGCGGGTCTATCGTGGGTGAGACGCGATCATTTATTAGTAAAAACAATATATTCAGTTAATGAGGTAAAGTTGCAACTGATCTGTCTATTATGGATAGTTTCTAAAATAATTGAAGAAAAGAACTGGCAGGGATCTAGGGTGATACATGTGATATGATATACGTCATGCCTCAAACTGATTTAGCCAGCTGGCACTTTCCCATCATATATTGTTTTACAAAAATATAATAATGATTGATCTTTTATTTCGAATTTTTAAAAACATGCTTTGTGCTTTACAAGTGATATTTATTATTGCATTTACTTTCGTATTCTACTAACAGCAAAGTAATAATAAATGTTCTTTTTTGTTATTTAAAAAAAAATAACTCTTGCTCGTTCAGTTCAATATAATTAATAAAAAAATTAATTGTTTCGGCGCTTTGAGAAAAGGATGGTGTTATGGATCTTGCATCACTTCAGCCATGGAGCTCATCATACCCTATTTGTGATAGAAAACATGGGAATTATGAATTATATGGCAAATGGAACAAAATATTGTCTTGCTTCACTTCAAGTATAAGCCAGTCATGTGAGATTTATCAACGCAGTATTGTGACGTAATAAATGAAGATCTTTCTGTCAAGTGTATTGTAATACAGTGTAACTGTATAACCTTTATGAACAAGAATTCAGGAATACAGTCAACTCCTTCTATAGTCGCACATTTAGGATAGACTATATTTGATGATTATAAGGAGGTGTGACTATAGATGAAAAAATTTTTTTAATCACATTTTAACAATAAATACATAAATATGACTATAAAAAAATGGTTTAGTTATTTACTTCATTGTAATTTGTAATTTATTATGAATTATATTATTACAAATCAAAGTTATACTAATTAAGAAAGAGAAAAATAATCTTTAATTAACTTTTATTGTAAAGATGTAATATAGCGTACTTTCAAATCCAAAGCATAACGTCTAAAAACCTTAAAATCCTCCATTTTACATGCATCATCAATAGGTTGCTGTTCATAAAAAAGAATTACTTTTTTAATTGCATCAAAAGCTTCTTTTGGTAATACTTTTGGAATTAATTTCTCTTCATTATCAGTATTATCTTCTGCAGATACTTCTTTATCATCTTGCACAAAATTTATAATTTGTGTATCATCCAAGATTTCTTCAGTAAGTGGAGAGGTTTTATCACTAATGTAGATTATCAAATTATTATGAATTTCATTAGTTAAAATAGTTGGAAGTATATCGGAAATTTCATCAAGTATATCTAAATTTGGTTGTATAATAGCTTGTTTTTCTTGAATTGATTCAAAATTAAAATTAGAAACAATTTCAGTTTTTTTTCAGCAGTTACGTATAGTTTGTTTTTCTACATTTTCCTAAGCTTCAGCAATAAATTCAATAGCTTGTTTAATGTTCAACTTAGTTCTATATTAAAAAATATTAATTAATACATGCCGATTGGAACTAATGATATAATAACATTCATTACTTACTGTTAAAGATCACTACTTAATATCTCTAATGATGATTTTTCATTTAGGATTTTGTCATCAGTTTCTGATACCTCTGAACTATGATATCAATTATCAGTGAGGACTGGTTGGATTTCGTCGTTATAAAATTTTTCCAACAACTGATCATCCAGTCTTATTAATTTACTAATTATTCTAGCCCGTCTTTCTCGTTTCTAGACGACAAAAAAAATTAGATAAGGTTAAAAAACAAATAACATAATCCTTTATTAACCTCTATATATTGCGAATTAGCGTACTTTCTCCTTTTGTCATTGTCGGTTCACTCGATGCTTCTTTTTTGATTTAGAAATTCTTTCTGTTGATGACAGTGGCGTTCGTGGATTATATGTTTGATTATACCATTCACTACCAGAAACATTTTTTTGTTGATTGATTTTTGTACTATCAGAATAATTTTTTGGTTGACCAATTTTCGTTGGCTTTCAAATATTTTATTCACATCTAATTTTTGACTTTCTGGTAGTCTGTCTATAATCCCTAATATTTCAGACTTAATCACAAAAATACATTAACTATTAGCAAAAAAAAATTGATAAGTATAAAACAAATGAAAATAAAGAAAAAATTACCCTTAACGCATTTCTTAATTTCTTATCCATTTCATCATAAAAGAGATAAGTAGAAGAGGAAGGAGCAGGAGAAAGAGAATGAGATGATTGGGATGATGATGAGTTTCTGTTGATCTTTTTCTGACCCTGATTGGAAAGATTTCTTTTAAGTTCGAGTCATCTTTTTCGTGTTCGTGATTTTTCCAATTGAGGCCTATTATCAAATGTTCTTTCTGGCTTTTACCTCTATCATTATATTGTTCAGAAGCAGAATTTGTGATATAAATTGACTTTGATGAATAAGCCTTTTCAGCCATGTTTTTCGAAGAGTCAGGCTGCCCGTATTGAGAGGTTGATGTGGAAAATTTACTTCATCATTCGTCCAATCAATTATTGTGTCTTTTATGTCTATTTCCTTTTGTTTTCCTCTTGCAATGATCATCATTAAACTTTTAATTTCATCTACTTGGCCTGTAAAGCATCTATTGTTTGAAAATATAATCAGAATGGCCATATGTATTATAATCTAATTAACAATACATATATTATACAATAAACAATCATACTGATTGATTTTTCTTTCTCTTTCTCTTCTTCTTTCTCTTTTCCTATCTCTTTATCTTTTCCTTTTTCTTGAACTACATCGATCAAACTGTTTTTTTTCTTTATTTTGATCGATATAGTTCTTCTTCACGAAACTTCTCAGAATCGGTTTCAGAATCACTAGAATAGAAGAAAATAGAAGAAACTAAAAATAAATGGTAATAAATGAAGAGAAAATATTAAAAATAATCGATTCATAACTAAACATACGGTTTTTACTGCTTTCGTGTTATTTTTTTAGAATAGGTTTCTTCAAAGAACTACCTTTTTTTTTATTTGCTAAAATTGATAAAATCCTTTACATTTATCTCCATCAGAAGACTCTTTATCAGATAAAAGACGTTTATTGGATTTTTTATTAGGCATATTTTGGAAGATTTTTCTTTTGTTTGGAAAAAACTTTTAATAAAAAAAGAGAACATAGGGTCTTTTTATATGTTTTCAAAGGAGTATCGATATCAAACTTTTAACCACAGAATAACACAATCATTAGAATAAACTTTCTTTACATTAGTAATAAATCAGAAATTTTAGTTGTAAAAGTATTAGTAATCACTGGAAGCAAACTTTCAATGAATCAGACATGTTGGTTATAAAATACTAGTAATCATTGAAAGCAAACTTTCAATGAAATTTTGATAAAAGTACTATTAGTCATTGTAATAAAATTCTTTGAATTGGGAAATTTTATTTGCGATTGTTGAAATAATAGTCATTGAAAATAAATTTTCTTATAGTAGTAATAGATAGGATGGGTTGATAAATCTATCTGACTGATTAGTAACATTTGGACTTTTATTTTATCGCAAATTTTATTCTAACAGATAATGAAATTTTGCGATTCAAATAAACTTTAAGCTCTTTATGCAAATGATAATTTTACAAAAAGCATAGTAAAACTAGAATAAATTCAAACCTAATATATTAAATTTTGCTTTTAAGATCAATCATAAAATCAGCATTAGCCGCATGCGAGCATATTTTATTGATATAATATGGGGCTTCATCAATAGAAACATAATATCTGGCAAAAAAGCTATTTTGAGATAATTGAAATCAGAGTTTGGTGTAATAACAACAAATGGTGATTTATTATTAGAATTATATGCGTCTCAAAATTGAATCTTTGCTATAACAATCATTTTTATAATTATTCGTCATTAGAATTTTTTACGTATTTATTCTTTGAAATATTTATCTACAATGTAATTTATATATTATTTCCTTATATTATTTTCTTACATATTATTTTTTTTACAAATAATTTACATACTTTTTAAAAGAGATTATCTTACGAATATAACTAATTAATAAATTTTTTGATAAAAGTAAAGCACTATTATCTCTGTTATAAAACATAGCTTATTATACAATAAATAGCATGAGAAACAATATTGTTAATTTTTATTTGTGCTTTTTGGTAGTCTTAGAATTACTGGTTCAGGATAAAGGCAATCTTGTTTTTCTCTGACTTGAAATGCTTTCGTACTTTATTAAATAGATACTATTGCCAAGCTGCATTTAAACCAGAAAGTGGAGTAGTTGCTGGACTTGGTTTAGCACCTTTTTTCAGATCTTTTCTCCAAATTTTAATCAAATTTGTTTCTTTATTAATAGAACTGCTTATCTCTACTTTTCTTTTATGTTCGTTATCAAAAATAAAGTGATGCTATTTTAAAATATTTGGAACAATTTTGAAATATTCTTTTAACCATTCACTCCAATTATAGAAATATACAACCTGCTTTCCATTTTTGTCAAAGATCGTTTGCACTATATTATATTCATTTGTTGTTGAATTTTCTATTACTTTAATTAGATCATCTAAATTATCAACCTCTGACTTAGCGAGTGCTAATTTAAATAACCCAAAAAAAGAATCTGGGCTAAATTTTGTGTACCTGGCAATTATAAATGAATATGTAATTCTATCATGATAACCCATCATTATATGTCATGTTAAATAAGCTACAGTCAACTCCCTCTATAGTCACACATTTGGGATAGACTATATTTGATGATTATAAGGAGGTATGACTATAGATGAAAAAATTTTTTTAATCACATTTTAACAATAAATACATAAATATGATTATAAAAAAATGGTTTAGTTATTTACTTCATTGTAATTTGTAATTTATTATAAATTATATTAAGTATTACAAATCAAAGTTATACTAATTAAGAAAGAGAAAAATAATCTTCAATTGACTTTTGTTGTAAAGATGTAATATAGCATACTTTCAAATCCAAAGCATGACGTCTAAAAACCTTAAGATCCTCTATTTTACATGCATCATCAATAGGTTGCTGTTCATAAAAAAGAATTACTTTTTTAATTGCATCAAAAGCTTCTTTTGGTAATACTTTTGGAATTAATTTCTCTTCATTATCAGTATTATCTTCTGCAGATACTTCTTTATCATCTTGCACAAAATTTATAATTTGTGTATCATCCAAGATTTCTTCAGTAAGTGGAGAGGTTTTATCACTAATGTAGATTATCAAATTATTATGAATTTCATTAGTTAAAATAGTTGGAAGTATATCGGAAATTTCATCAAGTATATCTAAATTTGGTTGTATAATAGCTTGTTTTTCTTGAATTGATTCAAAATTAAAATTAGAAACAATTTCAGTTTTTTTTCAGCAGTTACGTATAGTTTGTTTTTCTACATTTTCCTAAGCTTCAGCAATAAATTCAATAGCTTGTTTAATGTTCAACTTAGTTCTATATTAAAAAATATTAATTAATACATGCCGATTGGAACTAATGATATAATAACATTCATTACTTACTGTTAAAGATCA